TCTCGCCTGAACAGGCCCCGCTCGTCCAAAATCCAGAACAACACGGTGGTCCTCGGCGTCGGCAGTTCGACCATTGAACGGTTCACAGAGCTGCAGCCGCTCGCGAACAAGACAGCGCCGACCGTGGCCACGGCTCTCATCCAGGTTGTAGACCAAGTCCTCCGTGTAGCCCTACAGGGTTGCCGCAACAACGCGGCGCCGGCTCGGCTCCTGACGGCCGTTCTCTGCGCGACTGGCGACGGGGTTGGGACGAACGCCAATGCAATGAAGCGCATGCTATGGCACTTCACACACGGTGAGATTGCAAACGTTGTGGCTTATAGGGCTCTTGTCTGGGCATGCGGGTCCCATTCCAGCAACCTGTGCGTTATTGTCGCCATTGCTGGGCCCACCTCCGCGGCAGCGGCTTCCAAAGCGGCAGTACCTGCAAACTGCACCAGATTATTCAAATATTTGCTGCCGGAATACCCCCTGGAGTATGCATCAAATTTGAAACGTATTGTGGTTGAGAAGCTCAACGTCACCGTTGCGGACGGCGACGCACCCGCGGCGCTGCTGCCGCATGACGCCCGTGTTTTGAAAGCTCTGTGCGGGTCCTCCGTCCTGCCCGACAATTTGACGGACGTACTGAACGGCGACTTTTCGAAGTGGGGGGCGGCGTGCCCGGCTGGAGTGGGCCCCCGAGCGGTAGCTGGAAAGTTGCGCGGGCTACTTTACAGGTTATGCTTGGTGTCAGAAGAGAAACCAATCATAACGCGTTTCTGTCTCTTCTCGCCGTGCGTGAGCACATTACTTCTCATGAAGCCACTGCGTATTTCATCTGACCTGTTCGTTTTGCATACGGAGGTCCCAGCGCAGCGGAATCAGAAGCGCATCGCAGCTTTCGTTCAGTGGTGCGATGCCGCTGGCACCGCGGAGTCCCTGAAGAGGGCCGCCCTGTGCCTCAGGCTCGCGAGCCATGCCGCAAAGCTAACTGCTAAGAAATCGAGCGCTTCAGATGACCTCACGGCAGTGCCCGCGCTGGTTCGATTGGGGCGGGGGGAAGTCTAGCAGAACACGTCGCTCCACATGTCCGAGATGCTGCCGATGCTCCACGCCGACGAGCTTAACGTTGCCGGTGCGCTCGTGCAGGTGCTCGTCACGGGCTCTCACCTCATCGCCCGCTTCGACGTGTATAGGCAATTCCCCACGCAGCTCTGGACCTCGACGAAAAAGTTCAACGCTTCCCACGCTGCGAGTTGCATCGAACAGTTTCTCGAGTTGCCATCGCGCGCGTTAGATGCCAGGTATTCTTTATACCTCCAGAGAGAGGCTTTGGCAAAGGGTGACCACGCGTCAGCTCTGAACTACATGCTCAGCCCAGAGGTCCAGGACGAGTTCGCAGATATTTTAACGCACGCCGAGGCGACGTCGTTAGACGTCGAGCGCCGCCACAATCATGATAAAAAGGCGGAGGCCCGACGACTATGCCCTGTAGCTAGGGCATCTCGCAATTCAATCATGAAGCGTCATCCCCAGGCCCGTAGGCGGCGCGTCCAGCTTTCGAGGGCGGCCCTTCTGGATGCAGAGAAGAAGAAGTTTGTGTCCTGCCCGTCTCTGGCGGCTAAGCTGAGACCGGACTTGCTGCCTAGACCCGTTGGCCATCGGTTTTGGGAAGCTGCGCCCTCGAGCTCCGTCGCGCACGATGGGGGGCCCAGCTGCCTTCAATGCGTTTGCGGAGACGAACATCGATATGCTAAGGGCCGAAGCGGAGAAGATTCGGCAAGACGGAAAGGATGCAGCTGAGCTTGCGTCATCTAGCTTGCTACCAATGACCAACGGGGAATGGCTATCTTGGCTCGAGGACAACGATGCCGATTTCCGGAAGCTGATGTATACCGCCACTGCCGCTCGCAAAGGCTTGTCTCAGCGGATCGCTGCCCTCGACGGCGGTTTGCCCGAGGCGCCGCGGGTCGAGCCGGCAGAGGAGCGCCGCTCTCCCCAGCCATTGTGGCTGAAGAAACTGATGGGCGCGACGTCAGGCTGCGTCCATTACGGGGCGCTTCCAGATCTCCATCGGCTTGTGTTTTTCTTCGCCCGCTGCCGCGACCAGGGCTGGGCCTTTTTCCTGCGCGGGGCGATCGGCAACGCGGATGATTCCGGAGTATACTGCATGGATGCTGGGATTAAGTTGCACGAGCGCCACATGAAAGTGGAGGACTTGTTCCCGGGGGAGGCAGTGCCCGCCGATGCCGGGGTGGGCGCGCTGCTCTTCGAGCATCTGCGCACTCGCGGCAACGCGATGGAATTGCAGGCGGCGCGCTCTGAGGAAGCGCAGGTGAAGAAGCGCGGGAAACGCAAGGCCAAGAAGGCAGACGGGGATAGCGAGGACGCGTCGGAAGAGGAGGACGAGGACGCGCCTGATGAGGACGAGGGCGCGCCCGAGGAGGAGGAGGAGGAGGACTGCGACGACGCTGCATCCACCGCCTAGTCGGACACGGCCTGCTCCCTCGTGTCCGAGGCTCAAGTGAAAAACATTAACCCCTGTCCCCAGCACAGCCACCAGAACTCATTTCAGCTTTCCAGCCAACCGATTTCGGTTCTACATCTTTGAATTGGGGGCAGGGGTCGATGTTTTTGCCCCAAGAGGCGGAGTCGGCAGCGGAGGAGGAGGGAGAAGAGCACCCGCCGCTGCTGGTGGGCGAGGGGCAAGCCGACGACGACGACCCCGACGCGCCGGACGACGACGGCGAGGGCAGGGCGGCGGCGGGGACGTGGTCGGAGGAGACGTCAGAGTTCTTCGCGCTCACCAGCAACCTCAACTACCCGAACGTGAGGATGCGGGTACTACTTTACCTCGGTGGTGCAAGCCCCACCTCATGGGGGCGAGGAGACGAGCAGGACGACTACGTGCCACAGGTACGACGTATCCAGGGATGACCCCGTCAGGTCGTGTCTCATCGCCCGCAGCTGGATGATATGGCGGACGCGGCTTCATGGATTCGCGGCGGAACACCCGTGCCGCCTCCACTGGGTTAGGCAGCGGGTTGCCCGCTTGAGACGCGACATCCTGAATCTAGGAGTTGCTGGTGGCGGTGCCGGGCACGCCTTGGCCGATGCTGAAGTTCGGTCGTGGCGCGCCGAGGCCATGGAGTAGCCTGCTTGCTAGCGCGCGCGCGCGCGCCTTGTCTCACACATACTTGCTGAGGCGATGGGCCGCTTAAGGCTTGACGCCCAGCGCGGGCTCTGCACGTACTTGGCTCGGCGGATTGCGCCCCCCCTGCGGCGCACCCTGGCTCAAAAAGCTCATGCCAGCAGCATTGCGTTTAGTATCGTCCTGTCTGGGTAAGTCCAATATTCCTCAGGGGCATTTCCGCCGTATCCCTCGCCGCCCCGTTTTCTCGCCCTCCCTAGCCCCATCGCGCCCTTCTCCCTCCTCCCTAGCCCCTCGCGCCCCTCGCGCCCTTCTCTAGGGCTTCGCGGCCCTGCGAGCAGAGCACGGCGGCAGGGGATTGGGGCTCCCGCTTGATACTTCCTCAGAACGACTACGCCCCGCATGGGGGGAAGGAGGAAAAGGTGCCCATGCAGTGGAGGCCCATGCCAAAAACACCCTGGTTGCCTCCAGGGTGCCCTGGGTTTCCTGGGTTTCGATCGTTTTGTTGCGGCAGGCGTGACGTCCCCACGCCAAAAATCAAGGGGCGCCCTCGGGTCTCAGGTCGCTTTTGTGCAAGGTTTCTTGCGGTCGAGCCCTTAATTCCTGTGCCGCGACCCTTCGCCCGTGCCCCCCCCCCTTGGGGCCTCCTGGGGGGGCCCTCGTCGCTACCGACGGGTTCGCCCCGAAATCCTGGCCAGACCGCCCTCCCAGGAAAGTGATTTGGATAATGGCGGTATCGGTGCCTCTTGGTTGCCCCACAGTCCACCGGACCTCTGCCTCCCGTCGCCGCCGTCGCCGCCGCCGCCGCCGTCGCCGGCGTCGGGGGGGAGGGAGAGGGCCAGGGGCGGCCTGACCGACACCTAGGAAACCCTCCCCTTCCGTAGCGCCCCCCTCGCCTCGCCTCAAAACGTCCGTGTCCGGCTGGAGGGTCGTTGGAAGGGCGAGGGCGACGTCGTGGAAGGGGGCGGTCTGGCAGGGGTCGGTCAGGCCGCGCCCGAAGGGGCGGGCGCGCGGCGGAGGCGCCCGAGGGTTGAGGCCGCCGGTGAAGAGAGGAGCCCTCGGGTCGAGCTGGAGGGGCAGCGCCCGCCATCTCCCTCAGCGCCCCCCCCCCCGGAGGCGTTTTAGTTGTTTTTAGTTGCGTTTTAGTTGTTTCTAGTTGCGTTTTAGTTGTGTTTAGTTGCCCCTGGGTTGTACATTATGGCGCCTGGCTGTTGTCTGGCGGTTGCCTGAGGCGAAAGGGCGCCGGGAAATGTTGCGACGCTTCCGGTCATTTTGCCTGGGCCCAAACGTGCACCGCAGCGCCCGCCACCTCCCTGAGCGCCCCCCCCCCGCGCCGCCCCGCGGGGAGGAGGAGGGGGGGGGAGATAAATCGCAACTAATTCGCAACTAAATCGCAACTCAGTTGCAACTAAACCGCAACTAAAAACAAGTAGTTCGCAACTAAAGCGCAACTAAGTTGCAACTAGGCCGCAACTAAAAGCAACTAGTTCGCAACTAAAGCGCAACTAAATCGCAGCTAAACGGAACTAATTCGCAACATAATCGCAATCGCAATCGCTACGAATGTGCATTGTAGTTGTTTTTCGTTGCGTTTTAGTTGAATTTAGTTGCTCCTGGGTTGCGAATTATGGCGTCTGGTGATTGCCTGAGGCGAAAGGGCGCCGGGAAGTGTCACGACGCTTCCAGTCATTTTGCCTGGGTCCAAACGTACACCGCACGAGGGTCGAGGGACCGATTTCCTGGGGTTGATTTTGAGTCGTCGTCGACGTCGCCGCCGTCGCCGCGTCGCCGCAGCCATTGAAGCTCGAGGTTTGATGCTCGCGTCCATTTCTCGCCTCCAGCGTTGTGCCCGAGCGCCTGCCCCCCGATGTCTGAGTCTGGTTCTGGCGACCTGGATGAGATATCCCGCAACGTGCTTGCCGCCAGGACTGCTGGGGCGCAGCGCGCCGCCAAGAGCAGGGCCTCCCGTTTCGAGGAGATGGAGCGGGCTGTGAGCTTCAGGGACCTGCCAGAGCTGAGTAGACTAGAACCTTTGATGCTTTCTGGCCGCTACATGGGCGCCGCTGACCAAGATGCGCTAGCAAGACTTGTGGCCGAAGTTCGCTTGGATCACTCGCTCCCTGTGGAATTGACAAAGTGCATAGACTTTGGCGATGCGTCCAAAAAGGAGGGTTGAATCCGTCCCTGACTTGCCCAGGACTCCGTGAGGCTCGAGAGTGGCGCGGTTCACCGGTGGCCTCCGCGTCTGGTGCGGAGTGGACGTGCCGAAAATATGCCCAGCCTCTGCGTCGCCCATCGTGGAGTCGAGGGACGCCGCCATCCGCCTGCACGACGGGCTCGTGCGCCGGCAGGGGAATGCCGCGCGCCGCGCCGCCCCGCCTGGGACGCGCCCGCCATGCCGAAATCGTCGTAACATTTCTGGCCGGGCCAGGCCCAGCAATGTTACGACGAATTCTTGATTTTTGGTTGGCGCGCTCCAGGTGGCTCGGCACGGATGGGGGTGTCCCATCCCCCAGGCACTTGCTAAGGACGACCTCCGGGCGGACCCCCTTAGTTTCATCGGCCTTCGCGACTTGGAGCCGGCCGCGCTGGGCGCCCGATGCGAGGCTCTGTTGCAGGGGCACGCGGCTCGATCCCAAGCCGCGGGACTCTGGCGGGATCAAATCTACGTGGCTCTCCCGCGGACGTGGGGCATGCAGAGCCGCGCGGGGTGCCCATTTCACAGATCCCTCGATGACGGCGCTCGAGATTTGGGCAAGGACATGTCCGGCACCGCCTCCTTCGTTGCCATCGGGAGCGTCGGCAAGGCCTTTGCCCCCGAGGCCGACGTGCCCAGAGCGTTGGCAGCGGTGCGGGAACGAGACAACTGGTTGCGCCCTGGCCGCGGCACCCGCAAGGTCGACTCAGAGCCGGGCACCTGGCGGGAGATCGCGGAGGCGCTTGGCCTCGAGGCTCCGGAGGCGCTCCTGCCCCGCCCGGTTCGGCTGCGCATATACTGCTGCCCATGGGACGCAAAAGACGTCAGCCCTTGCGAGGACGGCGGAGTTTTCTCCCTCGCCGTCTGTGGCACACAAGTGCGGCAGTCGCTGAGGAAAACGGCGGTGGAATTCCCGCGCCTGACGTCTGCTGTCTTGGCAATGCGGCGCGGCGGCGTGAAGGCGCTCTTCCTCGTCGGGACTCTGCTGGAGGCTCGGTCGTATCACCTGCACGGCATTGCCAATCACGGCCTCTTGCCGTGGCGCGGGAGGCCGGGCCGCGGCGGCCCCCGGAGAAGTCGCCCGGTCTTGGGCGACGATTCTGACTAGTCCGCTTAGCAGGCGGGAGATCGCGACTGTCGGAATTGCCAGGTCCTCGATGTCAGTTCACGCCTGCCGGCCGCGCATTTTTAAGGTCATTTCAGTCGTGCTGCTCGCGTCGTCTGCCAGAGGGAAATGCGCCCGGTAAGGCATTCTATTGGTGGGGCGGCCGAGAAAGCTCGAGGTGCTCCTCCCCCTCCTCTTCCTCCTGCTCGTCCCCTTCCCCCTCTTCAAAGCGCCCCTGTTGTGGACCCAGTGCAGTTCGCGCCCCGGTGCAAGGGCCGTTAGGCGTTCTGAAATGCAAGCAGGGTTTGGGTCGGGCCCCCAGGCATTTCGGGACCTCTGGAGAGCCATGCAGGGGTTCGAACGGAGCGTGGGCGGCTTTCAAAATGGGGCTCTCCCCTTGGCACCGCTCGCTAGGGCCGCAGTCGTGCAACAGTACGTTGCGCGGATGGAGCGCGGGGCCTCCCTGAAGAATGCTGGTAGTACTGCTAGTACTACTACTACTACTACTACTACTACTACTACTACTACTACTACTACTACTACTACTACTACTACTACTACTACTACTACTACTACTACTACTCCTACTACTACTACTACTACTACTACTACTACTACTACTACTACTACTACTACTACTACTACTACTACTACTACTACTACTACTACTACGACTACTACGCCTGCTACGACTACTACTACTACTACTACTACTACTACTACTACCACTACTACTACTACTACTACTACTACTACTTCTACTACTACTACTACTACTACTACTACTACTACTACTACTACTACTACTACTAGTACTACTACGACGGCTACGACTACTACTACTACGACTACGACTACGACGACTACGACTTCTACTTCTACTCCTACTTCTACTTCTACTTCTACTGCCACTTCTATTACTACTATTACTACTACTACTACTACTACTGCCACTACCACTACCACTACTACCACTACTACCACTATTGCTACTAAGACTACTACCACTACTACTACTACTACTACTACTACTACTACTACTACCACTACTCCTACTACTCCTACTACTACGACTACTACTACTACTACTACTGCCTACTACGATTACGACTACTACTACTACTACTATTATTATTACTACTACTACTACTACAGCTACTACTATTGTTACTACTACTACTACTACTACTACGACTACGACGACTATTACTACTATTACTACTCCTACTACTACTAATACTACTACTACTACTACTACTACTACTACTACTACTACTACGACTACTACTACTACCACTACTACTACTACTACTCCTACTACTACTACTACTACTACTACTGCTACTACTATTAGTATTACTGCGACTACTACGACAACTACTAGTAGTAGTAGTACTACTACTACTACTATTACGACTACTACCCTATTACTACTACTACTACTACTACTACTACTACTACTACTACTACTACTACTACTGCTACCACTACTACTACTACTACTACTACTACTACAACTACTACTACTACTACTACTACTTCTACTAATACCAGTACTACTACTAGTACTACTGGTACAGCCACAACATACGTTCACTACCACACCGCCCCACTTGTTACGACGAGACCTGCAATGTTGCTGCTGGCGCCTCCGGGGCCTCCGTGAACACTACGACTACGACGACTACTACTACTACGACTACTACGACGACTACTATTATTACTACTGCTACTACTACTACTACTACTACTACAACTACTACTACTACTACTACTACTACTACTACTACTACTACTACTACTACTACTACTACTACTACTACTACTACTACTACTACTACTACTACTAATACTACTACTACTACTACTACTACTACTACTACTACTACTACTACTACTACTACTACTACTACTACTACTACTACTACTACTACTACTACTACTACTACTACTACTACTACTACTACTACTACTACTACTACTACTACTACTACTACTACTACTACTACTACTACTACTAACTACTACTACTACTACTACTACTACTACTACTACTACTACTACTACTACTACTACTACTACTACTACTACACTACTACGTACTACTACTACTACTACTACTACTACTACTACTACTACTGTACTACTACGTACTACTACTACTACTACTACTACTACTACTACTACTACTACTACTACTACTACTACTACTACTACTACTACTACTACTACTACTACTACTACTACTACTACTACTACTACTACTACTACTACTACTACTACTACTACTACTACTACTACTACTACTACTACTACTACTACTACTACTACTACTACTACTACTACTACTACTACTACTACTACTACTACTACTACTACTACTACTACTACTACTACTACCACAAACACAACACACACGCACTACCACACCGCCCCACATGTTACGACGATATCTGCATTTTTGCTGTTGGCCGCCACATTGGCCTTTCATTTCTCATGTGCTTTCCCTTTCCTTCCCCTCCTCTCTCTGTTCCTATCCCTTCCCCTCCGCTGCAGCCGCTTTGGTCCGAGAGTCGGGCAAACACTTCTTATTCTTGCATCTTCCTCGGCCCCAGCATGCCGAAAGCCACGGCCGTGGACAGCGCGATGGGTGCCAGCGTGCAGGAGTATGCGGGCCAACTTGCGTCGGGCGAGAAGAGGCCGGCAAAGACGCCCGGCGGGACAAGGCGAACAGGGCGCTTGCGCGCCTGGCGAAAGAGAACTCCAATGCCGGGATCCAAGTGGACGAGGACAACTTGAGTCGCTTCCTGCGTCTGCGCGCCATGGGGTTCAGCCGCATCAGCGCTGACATGATGGCGAGGACCGAGGTCAAGACGACCTCGTCCAACACGTTGGAGCAGACATTCTTCATCTTGAAGAAAACCTTCCGCCCGAAGCTGGACGAGGAGATTGCGAAGGACATGCTGTACGATCCGAGGAGCCTGATGTCGTGGCCGAGCTCGGTGTCCTACGACGAGGTGCGGGTCGTCGACCCCGCCGTGGGCCGGGCGACTCTGGGCAAGGGTGTGATGAAGTGGCGCTCGGCGGTGGGGAGCAAGTGCTCCGTTCCCTTGGGGCTCTCTCCCATGGCGCTTGAGGACAAGCCCAGGATTGGCGGGAAACGGGCCCGCGACGACCGCTCCGACGAGGAGCCCGACGAGGAGCCCGACGAGACTACCGAGCCAGAGCCGAAGAGGGCGCCAGCGGCCCCAGTCGGCACCGACGGCGGCGCGGGCCAGCGCAAACGCTCCTTGTTGCGGGCGGACAGCGCTGACGAGACCACCTCGATGAAGGACGCGGCCGAGCAGCTCGCGGAGGACACGAAACAGGCCGCTTTGGCTCATCGCTGGGTCTCTGACGACCCCGACGCTGTGAACGCCGTGGAGTCCCACTTGCGCTCGTTCGTCGAGCACGCGCGGGCCCTGCCCGCGGCCTCGGCGGGCCGCCGGCCCTTCGACCCTTTCGTGGAGCAGTATGTCCCCTTCGTGTTCGAGTGCCTCCTGACGTCTGAGTCCTTTGAGACGTTGGGGCCGGTCGTGAAGCTGACGAAGGAGGTCGCCAGCATGCATGCGAGCTTGTTCCCTCAGGTGTGGCAGGCTGCGTTCGAGTAGATGGCGGGCCCAGCGACGTCGCCGTGGAGTTCGGAAACATGGACTTGGAAATGAACAGGGCCTTGAAGCAGAGCGAGCTGTTCAAGGCGCTCCGGAGGGCGAGGGCGGGGGCGCGCTTCGCGTCGATGAAGGAAGCCCCGCAGGGTACCCCGCGCCCGCTGGCAGACCTGGAGAGGCTGCAGAACAATGTGAAGGAGTTAGGTATGCAGGAGCGCGCTGACGAGCTCGAGATTCCGATCATGATGACGAAGGATTTGCCCCGTGACATCAAGCTGAAGTGCGTCATGGAGAAGCCCGGCCGCTTCGAGGTGCTGCGGGCGCGGTGGCCGTCTCACGAATTCCTCGTCGTGGAGCCGCCGATGGAGGAGAGCGGGGCACTGGGATCTTCGCGGGGCGACTGGGTGGCGGCCGCGGAGCTGCTCACCGAGGAGGCGTCGGGCGATGCCCTCGAGGCCGTGGCGCACCCCGCGGCCAAGAACGTCCTGGCGACGCGTTGCAAGCTCGACGAGTGCCTCCCTGAGAGTCTCAAGAACGTCGCCTTCCAGATCTTCGCGCAGGTCTCCGCCGTGAAGCTGAAGGCGAAGCCGCCCCCGGACACCGCGGGGGCCTTGGCCGCGCCGCTCCAGCAGTATCCCGTGGACGCGATCAGGGGGCTTGCGAAGGCGACGGGAACCGCCACTTGGAAGACGTGCGTGGAGGAGACTGGGCCCGTGGCGCAGCAGCTAAACGCACTCCTGCAAGCAGAGCCGCCGACGCCGAAGGAGCCGCCGACGCCGAAGGAGGCAGCGGCGGCGACGGCGGGTGCGCCGCCGGCCGCGTCCGACGCCCCTTGGCCGGCGCAGACCGCGGCCAGGTGGCCCCCGGCCACGGGCCCCGTCGGGGCTGGCAGTGGCGGGCAGGAGCCGCTTGCCGCCGCCGGGCAGACCCCGGCGCCGCCGGGGGGCGCCGCCAGCCCCGACGCCGCGACGACGGGCACCACGGGCGCTGCCACCCCAGGCGCAGCCGCGGACGCAGGGGGCGCCCAGCCCGGAGGCGCCGCCCAGCAGGCCGCGCCAGCGGGGGGCGCGCCCGCGGCGGCGGGCGCCGAGGGCTCTGCCAAGTCCGGCACAGCCGCGGACGCGGGGGGCGCCAAGCCCAGCGGAGAGAAGGCGAAGGCGCCCGCGATGAAGACGGGCGACGTCGTCATCACAACGAGTGGCAAGAAGGAGCTCGACAACTGCCGGGCGCGGATCATTTCGCTGCTCTCCAGACAGGTGAAGGTGCACATGCCTGAGGGCGGGGCCAAAGGCCACGAGAAGGAGTTCGACTATGAGAAGCTTGCCGCGGCGCCCCCCAGTCCAGCCGCCCCGTCCG